CCTCCTCCTCCGCATCCACCAGAGGAGTATCCACCGCCATATCCACCGCCGCCATATCCGCCAGAGGAATAACCACCACCTCCGCATCCTCCAGATGATGCAACAGCGTAACCGCCACCGCCACCGCCACAGCATGGTGATGGAGCAGGACTAAAAAGATTATTCTCAAGGTTTACTCAATCTATGTAGGAAGTGAATCAAGGATGACTGGAATTGTAATTACCAGCAGCTGCTTCCACCGCCCATTCCTCCAAACAAGAAGGCATTAGAAGCCGAGATCAAGGCAACTGCGATCACTGCGAGTTTAGACATGCTAAAGTTTTATGATAACGAATAAATTCACAAAACTTTTAGAAGCTAATTACCTTGAAGGGAAGCTGAAGGTAATCAGCTGCCAAGTCATGACTTTATATACATACTGGGATATCAGTTTTCTTACGCATAAATCGGTTCTCCCTTAGGATCTGAGGCATCGCATGCGATCGCTTAATCTCGACTCTTTGTTTCGGACATGCGACGCTCGTATACACGAGAATCTAGCATGTACGGCTAAATACGGTTTTTTTACGGTACACCGCAGAATTGTATAGTTTCGAGTTTCATTTCGAAAAATAGTGTGATGATGGCGCTATTACTCACTGCATTTGGAAAAAAACTATCGTTCCGATTTTTGGATAGAATTAGACGATGTTTGAGAAATCCAACAAAGCACTCTTGTTCCGGAACTACAATGAGGGAAAGATGCCACAGCCTAAGCAGTTTGTAGCAAACGTTTTCAAACTTTGAAGGACCTCAAAGCTTGAGATAAGTCTCTACAAATTTCTTAGGCTGTGGCATTGGCATTGTATAAAAAAATTGACGCTGGCTGTTTTGTATTTGCTTATCTTCCAAATGAAAGAACTGAGATAAAACTTTTTACACTCAAATATCAGTGTACTTTGATCACGCGTCACTTTCAGTTCCATAAGCTTGCTTCCGTGATTTATCGTTAGCGATTCGACATTCCACCCGCACGTGCTTTTAGGGGAACAATGTCTACACGTCAAACATTGTCTAGGTCGGAGAAGACCACTCAAATGTTTAAGCAGCAAAGATTTTTACTCTAAATAACGAAAAATCAAGTTAAGACAACCCATTTTTGTTCGACAAAATGATGTGTTGATGGTCTCAGAAAGTCCTTATGTTTCATGTTGTCAAACATCATTCTGATTATGTTAA